TTCATGATGTCATCAAACAAGCCACCTCTGTATTAGTCACCTGACCTTTTTCTTTCTTTTTTTCTCGCAGCGGATTTCACATTTAATCCAGAAAACCTAAATTTGAATCTTATTCTTTCAGAAGATCACAGACAAGTGACATCTGTGCCCATTTGGCCATTTAAGTGTTATAATAATGGTATCTTGGGCTCAAAATGTTTCTCCTCAGGGAAACATTACTGGGAAGTGGACGTGTCTAAGAAGAATGCCTGGACACTGGGAGTTTACGTTAGAAAACGTACTTTAAAGTTTGATGTCAGGAGAGGCAAAAATCAGCCAAATGTTTGCCACAGATACAAACCTCAGAATGGCTACTGGGTTATAGGATTACAGGATGGATCAAAGTATAGTATCTTTGAGGATTCTTCCAACTGTGACCCTACCATTCTGACCCCCTTTGTGGCTGCCCCTCTCCATCGGGTTGGGGTTTTCCTTGACTGTGAAGAGGGCATAGTGTCCTTCTTCAATGTCACAAACCATGGGTCACTCATTTACACGTTCTTTAAATGCTGCTTTTCCCACCCTGCTTATCCATACTTTAATCCTTGGGACTGCCCAGCTCCCATGACCCTGTGTCCTGTGAACTCCTGAGTTTTCTCATGCTCATCCATTTCTGATATTACTTCTTGCCTTGAGGCTCGCCTTCATCTGGACATACCTGTGCCATTCAGCCATCTCTTCCCGTGGTCTCCCTACTGTACTTTAATACTTTAAATCATGCTTATATGTGGTTAGGAGAGATTCTTACCCATTTACTCTTGTTGATATCCTCAAAGACAGCTCAAGTCAAGCCGAGAGCTAGCTAGACCAATCAGTATAACATCTATGCCCTTCAACTCTGTATTTCCCTCTGTCTTCAAGAAATGTGACAAAGCCGGTTAGCCACTCATCCCAGTTATTTAAACAATCCATAAGAACTGGCCTCGTAACCATCACTAATGGGACTATGTCAATTTGCCCAAGATATCTCACGTTCAACAGGGAGTCAAGGAACAGAAAAATATAAGCAGTAATGAGCCTAGAGTGGAGTTATTTCTGGTCTACAAATTCAGGTCCTTTCTCTCGTAACAAATGCAGAGGTTTTTAAACTGTAAATTGAAATGTGTGTAACTTAAGATCATCGCAGAATATTATTGGCTCTTGTTCCTTGCTCCACCTCGGCCCATCCCAGGCTTTCCCCTCTACCCCATATCTCAGCCTATACAAGTTCCTGCCTCATAATACAATTAAACAAGATTTTGCTTTGACATCCTCCCAACTCAGTGTGTGTGTTTTTTCTGGTGGCCGGGGGGAGGTCTGTGTCTAGACAGTCACCATCCCTCTCAGGCCCAGGGAGAGTCCGGCAGGTCAGGACTTCAGTGTTTATTTTGTTGGTACTGTGAATGACATTATTGTCTCAACTTCCATTTGGATAGTGTGTTATTTCTAAATAATCGTTTTACATCTTTTAAGTCTTAGTTTAATTCCTGTTGCTGTAACAAATCACCCTGAGGAAAGAAAGCCTAAGGGAGAAAGGGCTGGAGTCCAGGGAGGTTCCAGCCCCTCATTGTAGGAAAGTCAAAGGTAGGTTAGGGAGCGTTTGCTTATCCTGCATGAAGATGTGTGTACGTTTTGTCTCACCTGTCTAAGGTACCTGATTGGTTTAATAGAGAGCTGAATGGTCAATAGCTAGGCAGGAGAGAGTAGGCGGAATTTCCAGGGAGAGAGGAAGAGGAGATGAATCTAGGCATGCAGGAGATGCCTGCGGGATTTAGAGCAGAATCTAGGCGTGCAGGAGATGCCTGCGGGATTTAGAGCAGAATCTAGGCATGCAGGGGATGCCTGCGAGATTTAGAGCAGGCTGGATGTACAGAAGGGAGAGGTAAAAGTCACGTGGCAGAACATCAAATAGGAACAGGTTAAGTTATAAGCACTAGTTGGTTCCCAATAAATAGTAAATATAACTAGCAATAAAATTAAAAAAGAGCTAGTTGGGAATGAGCCTAAGCTAAGGCCAGGCTGTAGTAAGTCTCTGTGTCATTATTTGTGAGCTGGTGGCCCATACTACAGAGTTTTGAGGTGACTGGACACTACATCTGTAATTGTAAAGCGGAGAGCAATGAGTTCATGCATGCATGCTGTCCGGTTGCCCTGTTCATTTCATTCAGACTGGGCCCTGCCATTAAAAAAGAAATCCCGGATCATATCATTGTTACTATCATTGCGAGGCAAACCTGTTTTATTTCTGCTGTCTGTATATGAGATAGCATTCATAACTGCAATATAAATTAGTACACTGGCACACGATGTCTGTGCTTATTGAAAGAGAAGTGGGGAACACTGAGACGTAAGCATGTTTATCCCATGTCCTCAGAGACACACCAATGCCATGATACTTCGACAGGAAAGGAGAAGGGTGTTAAAGACGTCTGAGTCCTTGAGAACACTGAGAGGGTAAGCCATTTCCAACAGAGGTTACTCTCTTTATCCCATGGCACGACATTGCCTGGAGTACCAGAAACACTAGGTACAGGTGGACTGTTTTGTACTTGAACTTTTGCTTGGTATGCCCTTAATACTCTCATTTATTCAGAAGTAAAGTCTGGCTATTATAGAGCAACCTTCAAACAGAACAATATGTGACATATGATAGTATTATATATAAAGAAAAAAATAATCAAGAACAAAGTATAGCCTTTATATAGGTACTAGATAAGGGATGCTGACATACTCACAGACCAAAAAAAAAAAAAAAAAACCTCCTACGCTTGAGTCAAGCTTTTAACAAGACATGACTGCTATCAGCTGCCCTGTGCCTATAGTCATTTGTACTCCATAAAATATTCTATGTGATATTTGGAGTATTTTAAACAATCCATTGTCTTAAAATGCTAATTTTTCTTCCTTGACAATTTGATCCAATATGTGTAACCTCATGTGGAGTAGTTCTATTTTTTCAAAAAGGTTGATCTATAATGTCATTCTAAATTATTATAATTCATTTGCATCTAAAAATTTAATCTGTCCTTTTATCTTGTTAATACACCAAATTCTGGTTGGGGTAAATAAACGGAAAGTCACAGTATTGGAGAAATCAAATAATAGTGTCATGTTGAAGAATTCCTTACCAACAAAAATCTTTCTTCCCCCTTTGGTAGGAACTTTCCTCATTGCTAAGTTAAGACACAAGAAAAGCAACAGTGGATATCGCTCTAGCATTGCTTCCTCCCACTGCGCTTCAGTTTTATTCTGCATCATTAGGGAACAAGGAGACCCAGACACTGAATGGTAACCACTGACAGACACCCAGATTAAATGTTAAAATACACAGACAACCATGTAGCCCTGTGTGGGCTTTTCTGCAGACAGTGTTCCTCCTGTCTCTGTAAAGGAAGCAGATTTGGGGCTGGGGAGTTGGCTCAGTGGCTAAGAGCACGTGTGTTTACACAGAACCTGGGTTTATTCTCGGCGCTCGCATGGCCGCTCAGCACCTTCACAGGACCAGGCATGAACGTGGTGCACAGACATACATGCAGGATAAATATGCATACACCTAAAATAATAAAATCTTAAAAAGTTATTTAAAAACTTAAAAAGTATAAACAGACTTGGTGCCCTTAGGTCTACCATTAACCTCTAACCTCAGGGAAAAGGCTGAAGGTGACCAGGCAAGCACAGCCCTGGCCACACGGGTCTGAGAAGTGGCACAAATGTGTCAGATTCCAACTGCACGTAATACACACTGACATTTATTTCAAACAGAGGAAAGGAATTCCCATGAAACACAATTACTGAAGAAACATAAAAAAGGTCAGAAAGCTCTGAAGTTAAGAATTTTAATTTTAGCAAACAGAAACATTTACAAATTATGAGAACAAAACAATCTAGGATTTTGCAATCTAGTTATTTCATTTCTTAAAACAAAGTGGAGCAATGGTTTTGAAGTAAGCCAATATATACACTTTAGTTTTGTTTTTGATGGAGTCTCGCTCTGTATGCGAGACTTAAAATACACAGCAATTTTCCTGCCACAACCTCCCAGATACAGGGATAGCACAAATGAGCTACCATGGAAGATCTGGTACAGAATCTTAATAATCATTTATTTTAGTCACCCCTCCCCAGACACCCCTCCCCAGTGGAATAAGACACTATACTGGACTGCTGAAACAAGGCAAGTCTCTAGTAATACTCTATTGTCTATGTTTACAATGCACTGAAAGATCAGAATGCCACAGAGTTCAGCCCTCAATAAGGTACCAAATCACCCTCAAGAGTGAGAAAGAAGATGCATACACACGCATGGACACCCTTGAGAACCCTGGAGTCACGTGATCAAGGGACTTATCTAGGGACTAGAAATAAGACTGGTAGAAAGCTGGTCTTTGTTCCCCACCTGCCCATGGCTTCATGGGACACTAAAACACAGTGTACGGCTCATGGGAATTGACAGAACAAACTGAGAAACTTCAGTTGATTAAAAAATTGCATTTGCTTATTTTATGTTGATGTATGTGTCTAGGTCTCTGTATGCCACAGTGCATGTGAATTCAGAGGGAATATTGTATGAATATGGGTTCAGGGGATGCAACTCAGGTGTCTCAGCTTGGTGACAAGGGCTATTACCCACTGAGCTGTATCGACAGCTTCATACTCATTTCCTTACATTGGCTTGAGGCACCTGCACTCTATTTACAGCAAAATTATAACAGAATAAGCATATCTGTTATGTGTGCTATTCACACCAGGACCTCTGGCATGTTAGAACCAGGACTTGAACTCAGGAACTCTGGCCACATTGTCTACTCTCTCTCAATCTGTCTGTCTCTCTTTCCCTCTAGTGTGTGGCTGTGCATGCACGTGCCTGTGTGTGTGTCTGTCTCTCTCTCTAAGATGTTTTAGGACACTAATATTCTTCAAAAATATAGAACATGTGCCAGGTGCTAGGTGGTGGTGGTACTACCTTTAATCCCAGCACTTGAGAGGCAGAAGCAGGCAGACCTCTGTGAGTTCAAGGCCAGCCTGATCTACAAAATGAAGACAGCCAGAACTACACAGACAAACCTTGTCACAAAAAAACAAAAAACAAAACAAAAAAGGAACACTTCATGAATGTGTGTATCATCCCTCAGCAGGGGCCATATTAATTTTCTCTGTATCATTCCACTTTGGGTAGACATGTTGCCTAGGGGAGCGCACGCACGGGCGACTTTCAGTGCATATCATCTGTGATGTTTTCTCCTTAGTTCCTTGATGAAGAAGAATCATGGTAAAAATGGCCTACTTGCTAAGGGTACATTTCTTAACCATGGACTCCTACGTATAATTCTTAAAACTAGTAGACAAGTTGTTGAAGAACTTCCTTTCTTTTCCTTTCACTGAGGAGTAGAATGAGGGATGGAGACATGAGGGGAACTGAGGCAAGAGCATTAGTCATGGAGCCCCTTCTCAATACGCATGAGGCCTTGGGTTCCATCTCTGGCATGGAGAATAAAAGAAGAATTTGACAGCAGTGTTATCTTCCATAGAGAAAACTCAAATATTTGTCCTTGAATATATGGTGAATGATTTACTATTCTTACCTAAAATACCAAGGAACAGAGAATATGGCCCAAAGAAATGAATATATTTCATTTACCAGTGAAAGATGTTCACACAGGAAGGCTAGAGACAGCAAATTATCTCCATATATATTTATGGGTAAAATTGTGCCCATGAGGTCAGGCAAATAAGATACACACCAGAGCCAAAGGCCCTCCACAGAAACAGATGAAGTTTTATGAGTCTGACCAGCATACTGTCATGGGCACTGAACATCCCCTAGGATTAAAATATGGAAAAACATTATCAGGAAAGGAATTTGCACAGAATCTGTAGATGAGAGTCCCATGGTGGGAAATATTGTAAAACGAGAGAGTGCCGGCTGCATGGTCAAGGAAAACGCCCACTCGACAGGGAGGAACCATCAGCGAGAGGGTCAAGACACTGGGCTTGCCTGTGAAGGCACACTCCTCAAAAGCATTATACACGCACTTGTTCCACAGCCCTATAACCCAGAAGCCATATTTAGGTTGATAATGTGAATTATTGTTAATACCCAAACGAAATAAGGGATTTAGGCGGCTTTCAGCATTTGAATGAAATATCGGATTGAAGAGGTAGCTTCCATCACTTAATCCCAGAACCCAGGCACCTTTTCCAGACACATCTACTTCCCAATAATGCTTTCCTGATTGGATAGATGGGTAGCCCAGGGCACCATCATGAGAGTTCTCACACCCAGATGCAAAATTTCTTGTTTGTTCTTCATATCTTATTTGTCTTTTGTCTGCAGAAATAACGGTGTTTGGATTGTTGTTCTCAACCAGCGTCACTTGAACTGCACAAAAATGACAGGAGTGAGTGTCATGGGGTCAGGAAATACTATGATGTTAGGAACAGAAGTTTAAGGCAGGTGGTGGGGGTGCACACCTTACCCAGCGGGAGGCAGAGGCAGGAGGATCTCTGTGAATTAGAGGCCAGCCTGGTCTACCAGAGCTAGTTCCAGGACAGTTAGGGCTGTTACATAGAGAAATCCTGTCTTGGAAAACAAACAAAAACAAAAGAAGTCTAAGAAGAAAGTGTGCAGGCCCGGAAGGAACCTTGTGTAGAAATCACTGGAGAGGCAGATTGCAGAAGCATATTACATAGCCTGGGAGAAGCAACATGAGGTCTAACAGAAACATAGGCTCTGCAGGAAGAGGGGTTGGCTTACAGTGCTGTGTTTTCTCCTTACCCCAGTAGCGCTGGGCCTCTGTGAGCTCTGAAAGGACAAAAATTCACAATCTTAAATGCAAGCAAAGGTAATCTAAAGTCCACTTCTGCAGATTGGGCAAGAGTTGAAAACCAGAACAGGGTCAAAGACGAAAGTTCATGTCCCATCAGAGAAGGTCCAATCATCAGTATGTGGTATGTATTCTTCCTTGTCCCTATCTAGAAGCCACTAGAATCCCAAAGCCCCGTCATGTAACGTAGCTCTCCTCACCTTGAAGCACTTGCAGCATGCCTTGTAGATCAGGGGCTCGGAACACTCTTCTTCGTTTCTTGGGGATGGCTTTGGGCTTCGTCAGTGAAAAGGCCTGACTCCTAGGAATTAAAAACAATGAATACCCCCAGCCACCACTACTTCCTCTCATTTCAAACCACAGATGCACTTGAGCTCTCAAAAATGCTGAGGAGGGTAGCCTGCCATCTGGGGATGTGAAAAGCACAATTGTGTCCTTCCAATTTACTTTCAGTAATTGCAGTGTTGGAAGGCCTTATGTTCTCGGAATCATGGTTCTTGCCTTCTAAAATGAAACAACTTATTTTCTCCCACTCTGCCTCCTTGATAAAATAATAAATTTTAAAACAAACCAAAGCTAAGGTAGTTGGGGGAAAACTGTGTGGAAACATATTTTCATGAATGTGGATTCTTGGGGAAAAATCAAATAGTAGAGTACAGAACACACACCTTGGAGCTCAACACAAATCAAGTATGGGAAATACATCTGGGAAAGTCAGATGGCTTCAAAACCTTTAGCCAATATAGAAAATTGCAAGTAATACCTAATTTTTCAGGCTCTATTATAAAGATTACAAACAGTTGGAAAAGACAAGGATATCAAACTAATACTAATATGATCCCAGTGTCTTAGGAAAATCCTCGCTGTGGTTATGTGGGTGTGCTATCTAGACGCAAGCTTGTCATCTCCTGTACAGTATGGGATGGAAATGGACCAGTCGCTCACACCTGTATCAAAGTGGTATGTGCAGAGATTCAAGATTATTGTTGCAAATCTAAGTACATCCAGAAAGACTGGATTTCTTTTTTTTTTTACTTATTTTTATTTTTTATGATTTATTTAACTTTTTATTTTATGTGCATTGGTGTGAAGGTGTCAAATCTCCTGGAACTGGATTTTCAGATAGTTTTGAGCTGCCATGTGCGTGCTGGGAATTGAACCCAGGTCCTCTGGAAGAGCAGTCAGTGCTCTTAACCTCTGAGTCATCTCTCCAGCCCCAAGACTGGAAGTCTTCTAGTCTCAGGAGAAAATAATGTGAACATATAGGAATTCTGCCAATGGACAATTCTGTGTACTTTGCAGACATCTGCCACATCCCATCTACCATAAACCAAGCACCTGTTAAATCCAGATCCAGGGCCACATGCAAGCACACGGGTAAAGTGCTGACATTACAATGGAGCTAAGAGTACCCCAGTCTTTATCGCTAATCCCATTACTGAGCCAAATAGTTCCTCACAACCCCTTTCTCTACCATAGGCTCTAATCTATTCTCAACAGAGGCAACACACTCCGTCCCTGTTTTTTGATCAGAAATCCAATACTAAATCTAAATTGCCCCAACCTGGGAGAATTATGTTCTACTTGAAAACTAAGCCATTCTTGCCACACGGAAAGACTGCCACTGGCAGCCATACATACCATTTTATGATGTCATCCACTCCCTAGACAGGAACAGAGAAAACAGGAGTTAAGACTTCTCATTAAGACGGCGGGTGAGCATCCTCGCAACCGAGACTCTGTGAGAGACAACAGTCATGATAACATACGAGGAGCCATTTCCTGCAAGTGACAGTCTGTAAATGAGCTGATTAAGGCGGCAGAGATCACTGTGGGTGGCAGGCATCTTCTCCACCAATGGTCTCCCAGAGTGCACAGCATGCTGGGATGTGACAAAGCACTCAACACTATCTGGACCCGCAGGAGCACAGGGGTCTGAAGGAAGCACTTGGAAAGGACTTAGAGCCTGTCCTTGCTCACACCAGAACATGGAAACATGGTGGCACCCAAGATCTATGTAAGCCACTCACTGCTCAGACACAGCACCAAGGAGAACCGCCTACAGCCAAAGGGATCTGAGAAGGTCATCTTTGAATTCAACACAACTGTGTCAGAAATTAACTAGGGTAATGTTCTTGTTTCTTGTTTTCTTTCTTTATCTACCCCACTCTTTGACACGCCACACCATGGTTTGGCTGTTGTCTGTGACTTGCTCTGCTAGGCTTTAGATGGTTGTGTCTCTACGGTCTACTCCATCACTTCCTTTGTCAGACTTTCCCCCCACATCTCATGGGCTTCTCTTCTTAGTCCTCCATTTCTTCCTCTCATTATTATCTCTCCTCTTTTAACTTCTTTTTAAATTTCTTTTTTAAATTTCTTTTATACTTTATATGTGTTTTGTCTGCATGTGTGTTTGTGCACCACATTGTATGCCTGCCTGGTGCCCATGGAGGTCAGAGGGTGTCATATCTCCTGGAACTGGAGATGGTAGTGAGTCACTATGTGGGTTCTGGGATGGAACCTAGGTCTTCTGCAAGAGCTATCTCTCTGGCCTCACTTTTTTATTCTTTAATTATAGCCTTTCATAGCTTCAATGACTTCTAAAATCTGTGGAACCTGACAGTGTCCCAATGTTCCCCTTAAAGATAATTTTTCCACCTTAAGTTTTTTTTTTTTAAAATCTCATACATAGGCTGGAGAGATGGTTCAATGGTTAAGAGCACTTGTTGCTCTTCTTTATAGTGGTTCATTGCCATCTGTCACTCCAGTTCTAGGGGATCCAATGACTTCTTCTGGCCTCCAGAGGCACCAGGCACACACATGGTACCCATGCATACAGGCAGGCAAAGCACTCATGCACATAAAATAAATAAAAAATACATTTAGCTGGTTTGTGGCGGCACACAGCTTTAATCCCAGCACTCAGGAGGCAGAGGTAGATGTATCTCTGTGAGATTGAAGCCAGCCTGGTCTACAGAGCGAGTTCCAGGACAGGCTCCAAAGGTATACAGAGAAGCCCTGTTTCAAAAAAAAAAATCTCTATTTTAAAAAAATGATTTGCCAGGTGGTGGAGCACACCTTTAATCCCAACCAGGTGGTGGCAGGTCAGGAATTCAAGGCCAATCTGGTCCACGCAAGCAAATTCCAAGACAGCCAGGAGCTAGGACTACAATAGAGAGACCCCGTTTAAAAAAAAAAAAAATCTATATTTTCCCATGTGTGGGTGTGTATTTTGAATAACAAAACAGGATCTTGTTCTGTGGCTCTGCCTGGTGCCTGGGGCCAAAGGAGGTCAGAGGTCAGAGGGTGTCAGATTTCATGGACCCAAAGAGCTAAGCATACAGATGTGTGGCAGCATATCTGGAATTCAAACAAGCCGGCCTAGAGCAAGCTGCACACACCTGTCTCCTGAAGTCGTAAACCAATAGCTGACATAGGCACTCAACCTCAGCATGGATCAACAGATGAATGGACAAAAGCAAGGTGGTCCACGTACACAGTGGAATACGAGACAGCTTTATAAAAGAGGAAGCGCAATCATTTGCGGTAACACGGATGAACCAACAGAGTTTGTGTCACATGAAACAAGCCAGGTTCAACCAAATAAATGCCGCATGATATCACGTGACTACGTAGAAGATCTCATAGGAGACTAGAGTGAGTGCCGACAGTAGTTGTGCAGAAAAAAGTGGGTTGATATTGCTCAAAAGATAAATTCCTAGTCTTGTACAGTACAGTGAGAGGGGGTAGTAAATAACATACTCTTCAAGTTACAAAAAGACTTTGAGCTGCCATCACACAAAGAAAGCAGTATGATGTGGGGCCATGCATTTGTGAATTAGCTCCATATAGTATTTCATAATGTAAGCATATTGCAAAACACCCTGTAATATGTACGTTTTTAAAATTAAAATGAACACAATAGGAAAGTAAGAAATTGAAAAGATGGTGAGGACTTCCTACAACCAATATGGCCTATAAATTTTATAACTTAGATGGAAGAAACACATTCCCATGGAGACATCTCCGACAAATGCTGCAAAATGCTAACTCTGGGCTGCAAGACGGCTCAGCAGGGAAAGGCATTGGCCATATAAGCATGTGGTTCAGTCCCTGGAAGTGACGTAAAGTAGTCTTTCCATAGTTGTTTTCTGATACATAACACACACAGACACACACACAGAGACATACACACACGTGTTTTGAAATAGGGTTTCTCTCTATAGTCCTGGCTATCCTGGAACTTGCTCTGTAGACCAGGCTGGCCTCAAACTCACAGACTCAAACCCACCTGTCTCTGCCTCCTGAGTTCTGGGATTAAAGGTGGACACCACCACCACCTGGTACATAAAATATTTTTAAGGAGTAAAAATGATCTAAATAAATGTGATACTAAAATAAAATAAAAAATTTACATTTCTTTAAATAGCAAAATAAAACAAAAAACTACAATGTTCAGTGGCTCAAGTAGCTCAAATACTTTTTAAAAATACTTCCAGTTCACTATTTCTTGTCTTTTATTATTATTTTATACATATGAACATTTGCCTGCACACGTGCTTGTGCATCACCAGCACGCTTGGTACCTGTGGAGGTCAGAAGAAGCACTGGAGTTCCAAGCGGTGTTGAACTACAATGTGGATGCTGGAACTGAACCCAGGCACTCTAGAAGAACAGCCACTGAAGAGGGGAGAAGCCTCAACTCATCCTATGGTGGACAACATAAACACCTCTCATAACTACAAGTTTCTTGCTTGCCAGTGCCTAGCTGGAGTTAATGTGGTACTTAAACAACACACAGCTCCGCTCAGAAAGAGCAGGTGTCATGCATACCCATGCCTTCAACAGAGCTTCTCCCCAAACTTTATCTTCTGTGCTGTACTTGATAAACTAAATAAAAAAGATTCCACTCCTTGTCATTTATGCATGCAATGATTTCCCAGCCTATGAAACTGGTTTGGAAGGAGTTCAGGGAGAGCCCAGAGAGCCCTACTGTCCTCCCCAGGGAGATCACAGCAGCACAGAGGGAGGGGAACGGCTTCCAGGTGTCCTGACTCTCAGATGCCGACCTCCCGCAGCCTTACCTGCAGCATCTCCATGGCTGAGCACTGCAGCTGATGCTCCACATCTGAGATGAGGTCTCCTAGCAACTTGCTCTGTTGGGCATGCTTACTTTCAGACTCTGCCACGTTGCTCAGAATGTCTTCCCTCTCTTGCGTCAGCTTCTGCAGCTCATTCTTTTCTTCAGAGTCCAGGATGTCTTTTAGTCTTCTAAATTCTGTCTGAACGTTTTCTACATCTTTCTGTATTTGATTCTTCAGAGATAAGAAGAATGGAAAGATAATGGAAGAATTATTCAGTCTGTCAAAATGTGCTAGTGGAAGTTTTTTTTTTGTTGTTGTTGTTTTGTTTGTCATGATCTACCCATTCCCAAGCATCTTCCCAACAGTGAGAGTTCCAGAAAGCACCACAGAAGAAAGTCCCAGGACTCAGAACCATTCTCACCAGGCCCCCATGGTGTCAGCTCCTCACACAGTCAGGCTCAGCTGTGATGCACTCTCTGTGCAGCCCCAGCTCCAAGGGAACAGGCAGAGAGGACTAATCAAGGCCTCTTGTCACCATCAGCTTCCAGGGAATGAAGAGCCAGGGAGCTTCTTGCCCAGGTCCCTCCCAGGCATCAGGCTAACTCCCTTAGGGGGTAGGGTCCCCACTTGCCTCCCAAGAAGTTCTCTCCTTTTGAAGGTCGTCCTTCCAGTTCTCTATTTCTTTCTTGTCTGACATCAGCTTTTGCAGAGCCACCTGGAGCTTCCCCTGTGAGAGAGGAATTGTAGCAGAGTCAATCTGTGTGCTTTAGTAGGACAGCTGCTCCTAGCCAAAGGCCAAGAAACTCTTCTGGAAAGAGAGGAGGCCTTAGACTATTACGTCTCCTTAAAGGAATGTGATATAAATTATATACATAACATATATATATATTCATACATACATATATGATTTTTGTCTTTTTATGTTTTATGATATTGTTTTTGTTTTTTGAGAGAGGGTTTCTTAGTATCACCCTGGCTATTCTGGAACTAGCTCTGGAAACCAGACTCTCCACCAACTCACAGAGATCTGCCAATCTGCCTGCCTCTGTCTCCTGAGTGGTAGGATTAAAAGTGTGCACCACCACCACCGGCTACACATAGAACTTTTAGATCTATTAAGAGCAAATAGATAATAAACATTAAAAAGAAAGCAAACAGGAGGGCTGGAGAGATGGCTCAGTGGTTAAGAGCACTGTCTGCCCTTCCAGAGGTCCTGAGTTCAATTCCCAGCAACCATATGGTGGCTCACAACCATCTGTAATGAGATCTGGTGCCCTCTTCTGGCCTGCAGGCAGACAGGACACTGTATACATAATAAATAAATAAAATCTTAAAAAAGAAAAGAAGGCAAACGGGCAAATTCAAGTTGGTTGAAACCGAGAGAATGGCAACTAGAGTCTAGGAGTTGGAAGAGAGTCATAAGGTCACCATCAACTCAAAAAGATTCCCCATCCTCCTATCCTCTGTTAAAAAGGTGTTATCAAACCAGGCAGGGTGGTAAATGCCTTTAATAACAGCACTCAGGAGGCAGAGGCAGGTGCATCCCTGAGTTCAAAGCCACAAGTTCCAGGACAGCCAGGGCAACTGAGAGAAAAACAAGCAAGCAAATAAATTAATAATAACGTGGTCTCATTATGTAAAGAATCCTTGCTCCAGTTGCCTCAGAAATGTTGGGATTACAGGCATCTGCTACCAAACCCAGTTAAACTGATTTATTTTTTTACACTAATGTTAAAAAACCGATAGCAAGGAAAGAAGAAATGAGGTATAACAACTTACTTCATTTAGTCTTTTTAACTAGCTAATTCATTTTGTGTTTTTGTTTGTTTGTTTTTCAAGGCAGGGTTTCTCTGTAGTTTTGGAGCCTGTCCTGGAACTAGCTCTTGTAGACCAGGCTGGCCTCGAACTCACAGAGATCTGCCTGCCTCTGCCTCCCGAGTGCTGGGATTATAGGTGTGCGCCACCACCGCCCGGCCTAATTCATTTTGTATGTGTGCATGTGTATGCCCACACTTGTGCTACCCCAGGCATGTAGAGATCAGAGAACAAGTTGCAGCAATCAGTTCTCGCCTTCAATCATGTGGTTTCTGGGTTAGAACGCGGGTCATCATGCTTAGCAACAAGGAATTCAGCCATCTCTCCAGCCCTCGTCTCAATGACTGTGACAACCAAAGAAGAATCAGAGCTTCTCTTGGACATAAAAATCTCGGGCTGGAGAGATGGCTCAGTGGTTAAGAGCATTGCCTGCTCTTCCAAAGGTCCTGAGTTCAATTCCCGGCAACCACATGGTGGCTCACAACCATCTGTAATGAGGTCTGGTGCCCTCTGCTGGTCTGCAGACACACACAGATAGAATATTGTATACATAATAAATAAATAAATAAATATTTAAAAAATGGTAGATTCTCTTAAGATTAAGGTTAAAGCTCAGGGGATAGACCTATGCTTTCAGGCCTCAGAAGGTACCAGGATGGAATGAAACCCCAGGCCTCTACTCCACAATGATCAAGTAACTGAATGGGTACAAGAAGTAGATTTCATGGTAGGTTCTGCTTCTTGCTCTATTTCCCACAATCTCCTCCCATTTCTTACCTTGTACTCATGGGCTGCCTCTTCAATGAGAGCTGTTTGGTGTCCTCGGTGCTCCTGAGATCGCTCACAAAGCCAGCAGATGGCCACCTTGTCCTTCTCACAGAAGAGCTGGAGTTTCTCTCCATGCTTTGCACAAACATTCACCTTCTGCTCCTCCCCTGAGCTGGACTTGAACTCCTTGAGCCTCTCCACTATGTTGGCCACATGCCGATTAGGCCTCAGATCCCCAAACAGGTAACTCACTCGGCACACAGGGCAGATGAACTCACCCTCTTCGTCTTTGCTCGACTCATAGTTCAGTGTAATGCAGGCTCGGCAGAAGCTGTGACCACAATCTGCACTCACAGGCTCCACCATGAGGTCCAGACAGATAGGACAGGTCACCTCCTCCTTGACATTCATCATGAATTCTGAAGCCATAATTGCTGTGATCCTGGGTCACGCCTGCTAAGGAGCCTGCATGATTGAGAAGATGAAAAGAGGGACAAGTAAGAAGGGAGGAATGCTGGGCAGTGGTGGCACACACCTTTAATTCCAGCACTTGGGAGGCAGAGGAAGGCGGATCTCTGTGAGTTTGAGGACAGCCTGATCTACAGAGCGAGTTTCAGGACAGACTTCAAAGCTACAGAGAAAAGAAACCTTGTCTCAAAAAAACAAAAAGAAGAGGAAAAAGAAAGAGAGAGATAGAGAGAGAGAGAGAGAGAAGGAAGGAAAGAGAAAAAGAAAGAAAGAAAGAAAGAAAGAAAGAAAGAAAGGAAGAAAGGGAGGAACAGAATGAACACTGACTATGCAGATATCAAGGATGGGCCATGACCACAATAGCATAAGGCAAAGAAGCTAAGAGAGAGAAACAATATGAACAACTGAGATAAATATGCAAAAGTAAACCTGTCTTGGTGGCACACACCTTTAACCTCAGCACTCGGGAGGCAGAGGCAGGCAGAGCTGTGAATTTGAGGCCAGCCTGGTCTACAGAGCGAATTCCAGAACACCTACAGGTGTTATACAGATAAACCCTGCCTTAGCCAGGCGGTGGTGGCGCACGCCTTTAATCCCAGCACTCGGAGGCAGAGGCAGGCGGATCTCCGTGAGTTCGAGGCCAGCCTGGTCTACAAGAGCTAGTTCCAGGACAGGCTCCAAAGCCACAGAGAAACCCTGTCTCGAAAAAGCAAAAAAACAAAAAACAAAAAACCTCTGCCTTAAAACACACACACAAACACACACACACACACACACACACACACAAGCAAAAGTAACAAGCATCTAAGCATTTAATTGCAGTTATGTATCTAAACATTTAATTACAGTTATGCATCTAAACATTTAATTACAGTTATCCTATATTGAGTTCTGAGAATAAAGGGCCTGGGAAATAGCTCCAATACACAGTACTGACCTAGAATGCACAAGGTTCAAGGTTTGGTCACAAGCACTGCATATACAAAAACCAAAATAACAAGTAATTAAAATCAGAAATAACAGACAAGACAGACAAGACTAGAGGTGTGCACAAAGTATAACATAAACAATGGTAGAAATGGGGTTGTCCAAGTTTCCCAAATTCAAAACACAAGAGTTTAAATGAAGGTTAACAATTAACAAGGAATTATGGGACAAAGACAAATGCATCCTGCCACAGAAGTTCAGGCTTCTTCTCTAGTTTGGAGCTGCCAGTGTAGCTGGTATGCAGAGAGCTGGACAGTGTCTGGTGTTACAGCAGCCTCTAGGAGACAGAATACATGGCACTTCTCAAATGAAGGTCTAGGTATCAGATTCTGAAACAGGTAACGAACTCGAAGCTCTTTCCTAAAGTTAGTGCAAAACCACCAATGCTGGGGCTGGAGAGATGGCTCAGAGGTTAAGAGCACTGCTTGTTCTTCCAAAGTTCTTGAGTTCAATTCCCAACAACCACATGGTGGCTCACAACCATCTGTAATGAGGTCTGGTGCCCTCTTCTGGTCTGCAGACACACACACAGATAGAATACTGTATACATAATAAATAAATATTAAAAAAAAATCCCACCAATGCTAATTACCAGTAAGAATGCCCTCCTATTCCAGCAAAACAGAATCTGGCTGAGCCATGAAGCTGTCTCTCCCGGTGCCAACCTAACAGGGCCCACTTCTCATGGAAAAAGAGCCCTGGTTAAGCTATGGCAGTCTGGCTCCTATGATGAAGCTGGGAAGGGGAAAGAATATGATCACATTTTTGAAAATATTTTTTAGAATAAAAAGATAAATAAATATACCTATCTCAAAGTATCATGCAAAAGACAGAAGTCACAGAGAGAACAAAGGGGCACTGTTTAGAAAATGAGTATACTCAGTCTAAGTGTTTCACAAGGAAATGAAACAGAGAGAAGGCAGACAGGAACTCAGCAAGGGATCGCACTCACCCAGCCACGCACAGGACACTCCCCCCACTGACAGACACACACACACGCACACACACACACACACACACACACACGAACACTTCTCTAGAAGGAACCTCTGGGATACAAGACTGGGTCTCTTGATGTAAGAAGACCGAAATGAAATATCTTCTTTAACCTCAGTGGTATAAAACTAGAAATCACTACAAGAGGGATTTGGGGAAAACTCACAGACACATGGAAATTATACAACATTCTCTAAACTAATGAGCAAAGAAAAAATCAAAAAGAGGTTTAGAAGCATTCATCTCAAGGAATTCCATTGGGTACTACAGTCTAAGAGGGAAGCCCACTGGGACAAAATTACATTAAATAAATAAAAAACAAATAAAGTCTCAAGTAAATAACTTAATTCTTGACCTCAGGGAAGTAAGAAAAAAAATGAAGAAACTAAGCCAAAACTTATACGATGGGAAAAGAACGCAGAAAACAGAAATACAACAAGAAGAACAGAAAGACTCTAGGAAAATGTAAGGAATCATCATCTCAGTTGTTCTCTCTCTCTGTCTCTCTCTCTGTCTCTCTCTCTCTCTTTCCAATTCATTTGAGGACAGGATTTTCACTATGCAGTCCTGGCTGCCCTGGAACATCTATGTAGATCAGGCTGGACTAAAACTCACAAAGATTTTCTTGCCTCTGCCTTCCTAGTATTGGGATTAATGGCATGTGCTATCTGCCCAATCGGCACAATATGCAATGAAATAAAACCAACAGGATCTTAAGAAGGTTCGTCGATGTCTCCTGGGTGCCCAGATTAGCTTTGATAAAACCGTGAAATCCCTGATCAAACTGGTTAATCTCATGGTTCTCACGATATTTTATAATTAGACGTTTTCCAAACCAATCAAGAATCTAATTTCCATTATTTAGAGATAGAAAAGGGGGTGGCAGCAGTAATGTGCACTTGCCTCTCTAGTGACGGGAGGTGGGGATGGGGGCCGACTGAGGGGTTGAAGACCAGCCTGGGCAACAAAAATGTATCACCTCTCTAAGAGACAACAGGAAAGCGGTCACTTCTGGGAGAATCTTCAGATATGCTACTCTAGCGAGTCTCCTCCTCCTCCGTCTGCCCATCTTCGAAGACCCCCTTCCCATGGAACTGGACCCAAGGCTTGAAAAGAGCCTACCCCTGAGCTAAGTCACAAACATTTTAAAAAATATTTTATAAATGAGGCTCATTTCTGATCCTCTGGCCTTTTGTGTAGCTGTAATCTCAACCTGGACTGAGCACTGCTTCAGTTTTCAGGAAATGGCTGAAGGAGAAGAAAACAACAGCGGTCATGTCCTGGCTTGGGGCTATCACAGGGAGTCAGTGACTAGCTAACAGGCTCACAGCCTCCAGCCCTAACCCCAGAGAGGAGCCCTAAGAGTTCCTAGGGCAGAGATTCTCAACCTTCCTAATGAGGTGACCCTTTAATACAGTTCCTCATGTTGGAGTGACCCCAACCATAGAATTATATTTGTGAAAGGCTCAAGGAACCCCAAAGGGGTCGCGACCCACAGGTTGAGAACCACTGTCCCAGCGACTGCGGAAACACCACATTATAACACAAAAACATATTCAATAAAAGAGGCTCTGACTTAGTCAGCTGTAGAGAAAGGAACTGTGTTCGTCAAGGTACAATTCAAATTTATAGATTATGAAATGGCAGGAGGCGGCTGGACCTGGCTAAAAGCCATCTCTAAACTAGGCCTCTCCCCCTCCCCCACCGGCAGTTCCTTCCTCAGGCTCCTCCTTCTGCATTTTCAGCTCGAGCCCAACAGCCCCTCCCTCTTCATCCTCCTTTTTAGCCTACAAACTCACCCAAGCAAAAGCAATGCTTTTCTTGAAAAATCCTCCAAACTCTGCCCCTAATATTGCTCAGCCAACCAGCAGCCAACCTGAAAGTGGTAAAATACGGAGAATTAACGCACCAACCCAGAACTTCAAAGTACTTCCGACTCCAAGGAGAAGAAACGAAAGTTTGAGCCCAGGAAGAGAAAGAGAAACTACAGAAGAAGGACTGACCAATAGCATGCTTCCGCATAAGCATACCCAGCTCCACCTACTGAAGGAACTCCCCTCAGATCAGCACAGCCTGTCTGGAGAGCAGACAATCAGCTCTCCCACCCTTAACTGTTTTGTTTTGTTTGAATTTCTGAAGCCAGTTGTTGAGGGTCAGGTCAAACTGACCAAACAAGATCCAGACCTGTCTGGAAAGTCTTCTCTTGGGCTGCTCTTGCACCTGAGCTCCTGGCTGGGTTTTGCTTTGTGTGGCAGGTGTGGCCCTAAGGGCAGGAAATTAAGGTGAGGGACAGGGAACTGCAGTGTCCTCTGGAGCTGGACTTGAGCGCTTACAGGATGAGAACAGGGAGGAAGCTGCAGTTCAGGACAGCTGCTCACAATCAAGATTCCCACCCAGCGTGGGAGGAGCCCCATGCAGAGCCCTGCAGAGACACTTTCCACACTCACAGCAGGGAAACTAGCAAGCTGCAGGGGCTCTCCAGCTGCCCAGGGGTGTCCTGCAGATTAGGTGTTCTGTTGCTGCCCAGAGCAGGGCCTCTTCCCAGTGCTGATCTGATACATTGTATCCCTTCCAGGAATCCCTCCCCAGAATGTCTCCCACAGGTCCCCCTTTGAGTTAGGATTTCTATTACATTCCTCTAGAATTCTCTCATCATCCCATGAATTAGAAGCTGAGCATGTGTATAGCTGGGAATGTGGTGAGTTGGCACAGTGGATGCCTAGCAGGGTGGAGTCCTGGGGTGGATCCTGAGCACTGTACACACCCAGGTGTGCTGACACGTGCATGTGTATGTCTTAGTCACTCTTCTGTTTCTGTGACAAATGCCACAACTGAGGCACCTTATAGGGACAGTGCTTGATTTGGGACTTGCAGTTTCAAAGGGTTAGAGGTCATGGCCACCACAGTGGGGAACATGGCAGCAGGCAGGAAGGCATGGTGCTGGGGCAGGAGGTGAGAGGTCACACTTGAGACACAAACCTGAGCCAAAGACAGACACTGGGAATGCCCAGAACGTATTGAAATCTCAGAGGTCACACGCATGTCACATATACTCCAATACTGCTACACCTTCCAGTTTGTCCCAAAGAGAGCCAATAACTGGAAATCGAGTATTCAAAGACATGAGCCGATGGAGGTCATTCTTATCCAAACCACCACAGGATTCCTCTGCTTTGGAGCTGGCAGCAGAAGGATTAGGAGGTTGAAGGGCATCCTCAGCAACAGGGGACTTTGATGCCAAGACAGCCTGAGATACATGAGAATTATCTAAAAACTGAAACGCTGTATGAGGAAAGCAATGAGCCGTCCCCACTTTCAGTCTCCCCACCCCCCACTCCTGCAGGCCTATCTCATGTGTCTCGTATATTCTCAGATCTATTAAACATGACATACGGGGCAGGAAGGGATATGACCGCATTGTCTGAGTTTTGTTTAACAAACCTGTCGCCTCCTCTTCTTTCTATTCTTATTTTTAGAGACAGGCTCTTACAGTGCACCCCAGCCTGACCTCTAGCTGAGATTTAACTCCCTAACCCTCCCCAGTGCTGAGCCCCTGGACTTTTGCTGTTGTTTTAATTTGGTCTTTGCACTTGAGGGATTGAACCCAGGACCTTGTGAATGCTGGGCCAGTGTTCCATCCCTGAGCTAAACCCCTAGCTCAAACTCCACATCTTGATGAGGTCAAGAGACTGAACTGCTGTTCTTGCTGTGAACACAATGTCTATCAATCGATATTGTAATCTGATTCTTCTCAATTGTTAATGATTATATAAAATTCTTTGCAACTTTTGTTCGGTTTTGTTTTGGAAGCAAGGTTTTATTTCACATCTCAGACTGGGCTGGAGCTCTCTCATGTTCAGTGTGGTCTCCAGCTGCTGGCACTACTCCTCCCTCAATCTAGCAAGTGCAGGTGTTAGAGGGATGAGCAACCATATTTGTCTTTTACAGAGTTGAACCAGTGCCTCCTCTGTTTCTTCCTAAGGCCTTCTTGGGAATCAAAATAATAAAATGCTCAGACAGTCATCTACCTCTTTGTGAACTTTCTCTGCAGCCACAATTTCATTCCAACTCTGTGCAAAGATTTGACTTTGTTATCGGGTCTGCCACCAGCCTCGAACCTCAGTGACAAGAATGAAGGCAGCCAGGAGAGCACAGCACTGACCACGCTGCTGAGCAGTGCGGCAACGTGTGTGAGTCTAACTGTGTCAATACACGCTGACATCTATTTCAACACAGGAAAGGCTTTCCCATGAAACAATTATGGAAGAAATATTAACCAAAAAGAACCTAGGAGTGATATGAAGATAGAACATTTTTGTAGGGCCTGCGTCTACCCTTGTTCCTGGGGTTCAGCTTGAGGACAGTTTCTGGTCAGCATTCTGTTTGTTCCCGTGCTCACTCTGCCCTGCCTGGTGATTAGCTCTAGGGCATTGTTGGCTCCGTCTTTGGTGAGGTCATTTCCCACCTGCCTGGCTTGAAATCCTTGAGCATCAGGGAGGTATATAAGGATTTCCCCAAGGTTGAATAAACAGCATTCTGCTGATCTCCTTTCGAATGACCCAGGTCTCTTTGTGTGTTCTTTCAATCTCCAGGCCCTTGCCAGACTCGCATATGGTACAGTGGTGCGCTAACTATACCAAGGGAGTAACACAGAATCGGGTGTTACACATTTTTCTTGAATGAATTTATAATTTAAAATTTAAATAAAATCAACTGTTATTATTATTATTATTTTTGTTGTTTTGGTTTATCAAGACAGAGTTTCTTTGTAGCTGTGGAGCCTGTTCTGGAACTAGCACTTGTAGGCCAGGCTGGCCTTGAACTCACCGAGATCCGCCTACATTTGCCTCCCTAGTGCTGGGATTAAAGGCGTGTGCCACAACTCCCCTGATATTTTATAATACAGGTATTGTAATTCTTCAAAAAAGCATAGTGATGTTTTGAGTGGACTGTTGCAATCTCTTCCAGCGTGTAGTGCTAGACCTCCAATCTACATGCCGCACTGTAACTGCCTCCCTGCTGTCACAGAGAGAAACATGATGGAGCTCCACTCAAAATGCGTCCCCAGGAGCTGCCTTGATGGTGCCACACTAACCTACGTGAGTTCTCATGACAGGGCATCCTATGTTGTGTCACATGTCTGTCCTGCCTGGAAATTAGAGAGCCTGGCTGCAGGCGCCTGCTGTGAACCTACCTCTCCATCCTACAAAGTCTGAGTCTTGTCCTTCAGCCACGGGGACCCTGATGCTCTCCAGAGATTCCTACATTCAGTCTTCTCTTGTAGTGGGCCCTGAACTCTCCTGGGAGCACTCACCATGGTGGGTCTTCTCTCTCTCTCTCTCTCTCTCTCTCTCTCTCTCTCTCTCTTTCCCCCCTCTTCTGCCCCTCTCTCTGTTTATGGCAATCTGACTCAAATAAACTCCTTTTGCCCACCAATTCTCGACCGTGTCCCATTGAACCAACTACCTCATTTAAAACTTGGAACATTCCTCTTTAAAGGTGAGACAAAATACAGCAGGGTCTGACTCTGTAACTGAGCCTGGCTCAGATGCACAGCAACCTCCTGTCTCTGCCTCCTGAGTGCTGGCACTACATCAAAACCATTATGCCGGGCTCTGGGACTCGGCCTCAAAATCCTTTATTACAGTCACAGTGAGAAAGAAACAGACAGATGCCATGTTGAATACCACGGACATGCCGTAAGATCCTAGAAGCATTCTATTGTTCACATTTCACAACACAGCACAAGGGAAGTTTACAGCATCACTGGCATCTCCATCATTCACTGTAAAATGGAAATCATAGGGTTTACATATTTGATAAGAAACAAATGTAGCACCACCACAATTATCCTGTCAAAAAATAATGTTAAAACCAAAAGATAATCATACATATCTACAGCATATTAGAGTAAATTTGACATCAAGAATGAGAAATCTTCATGTGTCCCTTCTCCTGACTTTTGCATGGAATCAGAACATAAACTGAGTAATTATCAGAACAATCATCTATGGAGTGTTCACTGGATGCTTTGTATACATTGAACTTCCTTTTAAAACACATAACTCATTTTACATTTGTGAATGTGTCTAGGCCAGCGTGTACTGCATATGTGTCAACACAGAGGATAATCTGTAGGTCAGAGTTGGCTGCCTCCTTCTATCATGTGGGTTAAGTGATGGAACTCAGGTCACTGGGCTTGGAGGACGATGCTTTTATCATCAGAGCCTTCTCACACATCGAGATTTATTTTCTCACACTGACTTATAGTATGTGTATACTCTTTATAGAAAAAATTTAAAAAACAACAAATAATAACAAAAAACAAACAAAACCAAAAATCCCATAAAGCATAGGCTTTTGAGGTTGCTATTCAGGTTTACACTTCAATGTGGAGTGGTAGGATTAGAAACCCAGCTACTCTGAACACAGTCTTAGTGTCTTGACTAAAGTTTTTTTTTTCACTCAGTCCTGCAGCCGTTAAGTCCCAAAGAATAACACAGAGGTCTACATAAGTTATAAACGGATTGGCCCATTAGCTCAGGCTTCTTATTAGCTAATTCTTATAACTTACATTAGCCCATAATTCTTATCTGAGTTAGCCACATGGTTTGGTACATTTTTGGTGAGGTAATCACATTTTGCTTCCTCTGAGGCTGGGTCACGACTGCAGACTGCACTTCCCTCTTCCCAGCATTCTTGTTGCCCTGCCTGTACTTCCTGTCTGGCTACTGGCCAATGAGCATTTATTAAACAAGTACAAGAAATAAATCTTTACAGGGTAAAACCATTGTCCCACAGCATTAGTGCTTACTATTAGAGATATTTCCTTCTTAAGTTTTGATGAAGCACAGCAATGTGGTTAAACTGACCTACAACTAAGGGCCCATTCCTAGGCTAAAGAGACACCTACATGTAATTTTCAAAACTAATAGAA